GACACTTCAACAGCAGATTAGGAAAAGGGCACAGAGATTCTCATGACTGGATTCATCAGCCAGACCTGCAGTTACATTTTTGTATTTGATTTTCCTTTCAGATTTTGACTGCAGTCCTTCTAGGACTCGTCCTGACTCCAGCCTTTGGTGAATATGTGAGTACAGTGACCATTTCCCACATGCACAGCTGCTGTTTCTGTATCCCCTGCTTTGGGAGATCTCCCTGATCTTTCACCACTCCTTGGCCGGATAGAAATTGAAATCTCCTCTCAGACATGAAACTCTAAGGGCACCACACGCCAGCTGTAAGATGCAGCAATGATTCACTGAAGGCAGGAAAAGGATTCTTATGGCTACGGCCCAACGCCACAGCCTTGATCCTTTGTCCTTGGGAAGATCCTGAGGGCGCTGCTGGCACTCCCTGCTGGAAAAACTTGTTCTATTCTACCACGGATTTCTGTAAAGACTGGGGGGGGTCACTGCAAGTTTCGCAATGTAAAAGTGTGTACTTTTATTTTATAGTATCAGCAGACAAATGGAAAACAGGAAATAATCTTTGGTGGAGACACCCAAATCTCTATAACTGGCGTTGCACAAACAGTGAGAATCAACAGTCAGAACCGCGTGGCAATTATCCAGCAAACGAGCAAAGATTTGTCATGGAAAACCATCTGGAACTACAACACGGTGAGTGGCAGGGAGTGGGCTTGTCCGGGCACTGTGACGGGAGCTCCAGCTGAACAAGGCACGGGGCTTCTTGCTTTCTTCTCAACCTTTCCAGTCCACCCTCTGGGGTATAAGCCATCTACATTTCTCATATCTTCAATCCACACTTTCTCTCAGCTTTTTCCAGTTGCAACACAAAACTGCCAGTGCTCAATACCTTTCTCTTCACAGGGCATCATTGCAACCAAAGTGACACAACAGAACACCTGCTACATTTCCGTCATGAACAGAACGGAGATGCCCAGCTTTGACAATCTGGCCAGACTGGCTAGAGAGAGCAGGGTAAGAGTCCAAAAGAGCTGCACTTTCTTGACCTTGGAGCCCGTGGGGCCTTTTCTTAACTGGGCTTTTTCCTGCTGGAGAGCACCACCTTGTCACTCATGGCACGACTGTCTTGCCCTCAACTGCAGTGCGGCTTGGGAATTTCCCCTAGGGATGCTTTGTCCCAAGAAAGGAGGGGGGGCCTCCTTCCCTCTGCCAGCTGTGCTTTCTCTCAGCAACCTGAGCTCTGCGGCTTGCTGAGAAACCCTTTCTCTCAGCCCTCAAGGCCACCAATGCTTTTGGCGTGGCAATCCTTCCAAGGCCTTCAGAGTCATTGCAACACCAACCTGCCTTCGTCAGCTCACACCTTTGCCTTGCAGCTGCCGTGGCCCACACTGCCTTTGCTGACAGGCACATGCAGGGGCTTGGGCCAGGCAACAAAGCCTTCGAGTAGGAAAACTTCTCTTGCCAGGCTTCCAGCCTGAGCAGCTCTGGGAGGGCAGAGCACAGGACAGAGCAAATGCTTTGCTAGCACGTCTGGATTAACACACCGGCTGCACTCCTCGGCTCCTGCTCCGCGCTTGCCTTGCACTGCCACTTCTCCTTAGGCTCCCTGCACCTCCACTGCCTTCCCAAGGGCTGCCTTTGGAGCTGTCTTCAAGGCTGCCTAGTGCTCCCTCGGGCCCCAGGGGATTCAAAGGCACCACTAAAGG